AAAGCCCAGTTAAAAGCAGGTTGGCTGAATCTTCATGCCTCAGTGAAGAATTAGAGGAGGTGGCGAGAGGCTTGGTGTTAAATTAGCATCCATCTGTATTAAATAACAGTTCAAGACTTTAAATAGAAAGGCAGCATGTGAGAGGGGAGAAATGGTACGGGGTAAAGCATTATTCAGAAACATGCCCTTGCTTCAGTCCCCGTCCCTAAATAAATACTGAGGCAGGAACATGGCTAAACGTTGAAAGAAAAGAGCCAAGTGTCTGCAGCAGCTCCGTGTTCTCCCCCTGTGGCACCTCCTCGGAGGTTACTGCCCCAGGAAAGCTCAAGATGGCTGAGTAACTGGGAAGGAGACCCTGAGGGAATAGCTAAGGCAGCCCCTTTGCTTCTCCACACTTGCCCATGGCTGCCCATGGGTTCTTGTCCCTTCTGTTAACCTCGTCTCCCTCAGCTCCACTCCAGTGCAAACCGGTGTGCTGCCACGCTATCACTGGCGTGGAAGGGGAAACACGGGGGGGAGGCTGAGTGTGGGGCAGCCTTGTGCTGTGCACCTCGCCAGGCCCCACGGCAAAGCCCCAGGGCTGAGGGAGAGGAGAGCAGCAAAGGGACGGTGGCAGCGCCATCTCAGCTCCGCCGGCGGTCGGGCTGATCTCTGCCCTTTGGGACGTGGTTTCCATGCAGAGGGACTGTAGTTCCCTGCAGCCCCTTCTGCCAAGCATCCAAAGCGCAGCGGTCATCTCCCCCGTGACTCAAATCCAACCCTGGTGCGGGCTCAGGAAAGCTGCCATCTGCAGAGGCCCAGCACCGTGGTTGATGCCATGTCTGATGGGGAGCAGTGCTGTGTCCTGGTAGGGAGCTCCAGTGGGAGCTTGCCTACTGGAAGGTGACTTTGGCAAGGCCACCGAGGCTAACGTACTTTCATCCTCATGAAAGAGGCTTCCAGTGAGGAGGAGAGCCAGGACCTCCCTTTGCAGAATCCCTGGGATGATGTTCAGCTTAAAAGTTCCCATTATTCTATCTTGGGCTGCTGGTGCTTTGCTGTCACCACATCTCCATCTCCTGAATGCCCACCAAACACCTCTCCAGAGTGGAGATTTTCCTTGGCCATCTCTGCTCCCAACCTCGACCCCAGTGTAATTTGGAGGTGCACAGGAGGCGCAGGGCATGGAGCTTGCCAGGCTGAGCCACCATAAATGGACCTGGAGACTTCAATCTCAAGCAGGTGTTTGGAAGGAATATGGTGACCTTTTAGCACCTTGTGGGAAGATTAACCTTATACCCCCACCGCTTCCAGCAGCTGCTTGGATACCTTAAAGAAATCAGGAGAGAGACTTGGCAGTGTCTGTGCTGTTCCTCCACCCAGCCCAGAGCTAAGCCCAGCTGGGAACAGCAGTGATTCCTTCTCCAGGACCATGTGCATGAGAATTTCTCCCAAATTTCAGCCATCATCCCTGAGGTTACCCCGTGAGACCAAGCTGCTTAAGGCTGCACAAGCCCAGTGGTGGAGCTGAGACGAGATCTGGGGAGCTGCTGGAGGCAGGGACAGATGAGCAGTGGAGGCACGGAGGAGCTCCTGAGCAGGAAAAGAGCAACATGAGCCCTTGCTGCTCTGCTGTGGTGTATAAAGAGGGCATGGACCATTGCATTCCCCTGGCAGCGTGGTAGGTGCTTCTTGGGGCTGAAGGGCCAAGGGATGGACAGGCTGGTGGTGCCTGCACCTCGGCCAGCATTACCTGTTGAAGCTCCTGAAGGCCCATGGAGAGGGTCTCACGGGTGGATGGTTCTCACCATGCACAGTGTTGTCCTTGTCACCGAGGAGCTCCTGCCATGGGGAGCGGTAGCCCTTGGGGATGGCGGTGACGTTGAACTTCTCCGGGGGGATCTCTTTGAGGGGCCCTGAGTATCCTGCGTGGGGGGAGAGACAGCGTGGGCTGCTGTGGCTGCAGCCGGGCTGGGGCAACGTCCCGGGCAGGGGAGAGGGGGCTGGGAACAGCCCTGCCTTCACACAGCCACGGAGGATCTGCTGTTGGGGGCAGGGTTCCGTATGTATGACATAAATATATGTTATATATTTTTATATATATAAATTCTGGGGAAGGGTTTTGGGGAGGACCCCTCAGCAGGCAGCAGCTTGCTGCCTCCAGCCCCGCATTACTGAGGCTACAAGGGTGTTGGCTTTGGGGTGTAGGTGGCATTTACCCGGGGCCAGAGCATCAGGGTTGAGGACTTTGCTCATCTGCAAGACTTTCTCTGTCTTCTTGGGCACTTCGGGGGGGCCACCCTGGGGCAACGCTGCCACGTGGAGCTCGGAGTGATAACTCTGCTGGCCCCCGGCGTCCTCCTCTGCCTGCGGAGGGCACAGTCAGTGGGGCGCAGGGAGCTCTCCCTGCCCCGGTCGGGACTCAGGAGGCACCTTGGAGCTTCCTCCACCTACTCACCATCCACTCGTTTGCCGTTCCCTCTGGGTCGCCTTTCTCGGTGCGGTGTGAGCCACCTGCCCCCAGCCCTGGGAGCTGCAGGAGGCAAAGAGAGGGGTTTAGTGGGTGCAGAGGGGGACCGGCACCCTTGCTCTTCGGTGGATGCTGACCCTGATGCTTGCCCATCTCCATTCCCAGCCCACCAAGCCATCTCTGGTCTCCCTTTGTCTCGGCGTAGCAGGCAGCTGAGCATGGCTGCCCTGCTGAGGCAGGGCATGACCCCCAGCCCCACGAGGAATTGCTTCCCTGCAAAGGCTGCGAGAGCTGGGGAAGGGCTGTCCCGCTCGGAGCCGGGAGATGAGCCGCAGACCCACCTCCCTGTAGCCGCTGGGATGCTCAAAGACAAAACGCTGCATCCGCCTCTGGCGCTGCTGGAAGAGCTGGGAGCCGCGGTTGTTCCGCAGGGAGAGCTCCTCGATCATCAGGTCCTGCGGCGTGCTCACCTTCTTGCCCAGGTCCAGCCGGGGCGCTGGGGAGGCTGGGGGAGAGCACAGCTACAGCTGAGGCTGCTGCAGCGCTGGGGACCCCCGTGCCCCAGCGCAAGGACAGCATGTCCCCTCACCGGGGTCCCTGTCATGCGGCTCAGCCATGTGCCCACGCCAGGAGCTGCCCCAGGGACTGGTGCTTCTTTGGTGGGGGGAATTGTCGGGGAGTTATCTCAGCTCCAGAGGCTCAAACAGCCTCTTCTGCTCCCTTCTGGACCCCTCCAGCCTTCGACACACAATTGCCACCCCTTGGGGCTGTAGTGCAAGAGGGGACCAAGAAAGCAGGCACAGAGGCCCTGGGGAGCGGGGCCAGTGGCTTCAACCAGAGCTGGGTCTGGCCCCTAGGCAGAGGGGGCAGCACTGCCCTGCGACCGGTGGCCCCCCCAGCCCCCCCCTTACCGTCTTCAGGGCCTGGTCTCATGATGGCCATCACTTGCTGCCGCGCTCCCAGGGCAGCTTTGTGGGAGGGGGACGGATCCTGCCCGGCTGGAAGAGAGAGGCAGCCCTGGGGTGACACCAAGCATGGGGATGCATCAGCCCCTGGCATGCAATGGGGAGAGGCCAGGCTTCGGCTGAGCATCTCCCCCAGACAGCATTATCCCTGAACACTTCCCCTGGCCAGCATCTTCCCCACACGACCCTCCACTCCCTTCAATAGATGTAGGGAAATGTCCAAAGCATGCCACCCCTCAGCCCCTCCTTCTTGTCTTCCCTCTCTGCCTTTCTTTAGGGCAGAAAATGGCCCCGGTTCTGTCCTTGCCTCATGCCCTGAGCCCCCTCGGAGCAGCACCCGCTGCCCACAGCCTGCCGGCTGAGCGGGAGCCCTGGCAGCCCCCCCAACAACACCTCTGCCTCAGCAGAGCTATTTTCAGCTGTTGGCCCCGAGGCTGTGGGAGACCCACCCTGGCCAGCGGCAAGATGGGGCGCGAGGCCGCTGGGCTGGGTCGCTTCTTTGCGGGGAGGCAGCTGGAGACCAGCCCTGGTCTGAGCCCCCCGGGATGCACACCCGCAGCAGCACCCTCCCGCGCGGCCGGGGCATTCAGCTCAGCGAGTGCGAGGAGCGGGGCAGTGGCTCGGCCCTGTTTGGTGCATCTGGCGTCCCTCAGCTCGGGCTGATGCTGTGCAGCTTCCCCTAAGAGTCCTGGAGAGCAGGGGGTCCCCGCAGGGCCACAGCTGTGGCTGCCTGGCACGCAGCTCCCTGCCAGCTCCGAGTTCAACATTAACCATCCGCACAGCAAGCGTGGGACCCGCGCCCCATCCTTCCCTCGACCCCCCCCTCTGGGGAGACCATACCCTGACCCCCACGGTGGTGATGTCCCCGCCGCCAAGGCTGGGATGTCCCCAAGCCCCGTGCACCCACCTGCTGACCCCAGCGTGGGACCTCACCTCCCCTACCAGGCCAGGAGACACCCCAGATGCCGGGGACCGAAGATGCTCTCCTGCTGCGCTGGGGATGAGACTGAAGCCAAGCTGCGGCCACCAGTGCTCGGTGGCCCCGGCTGGCCCTCTGCGGCAGCCCCGGGCTCCCTGCTGCTCACCCCAACCCGTGCTGGGCTCCAGCCCAGATGCCAAGGTCCAGCCGCGGGACAGCAGTTATTTCTGGCTGAGAAAGGGGGCGGAGCAGGGCTGACCCCTGGGGACCGGGATGCCATCATCCCGGCACGGCGCAGGGCTGACCCTTGGGGACCGGGATGCCATCATCCCGGCACGGCGCAGGGCTGACCCTTGGGGACCGGGATGGTGGCCGTGCAA